GAAGTAGATAAGTAAGGAACTTTTGTGAAAAAAAAAAAAGAATTTTAAAAATTTATGACGTGGAAGGTATGTGACACGAGTATATTTCACTGCTCAATTTAGGGATGGTTTTGGGGGAGGTATTAAATTCACTTCGGACAAGTATAGAGAGGTAATGAGACGCCCGTAAAGTTTAAGTGTGAAACTGATTTTTTCGCGCAAGTACATGGTGCATCTTATGTATGATCCCTTTTAATAAATATTAGTTATATTTTATTATTTAATATAGTGTGTAGAAATATAACAAAATCTATACAAACTCAAAGAAAACACATAATATAATAACAAATAAATTGTTTGTTCCTTATTTATTCTTATTGTCAAATTACCAAGTAGTTAATACTAGGGGTGTACATGAGGCGGTTTGGTTCGGTTTTTTATTAAACCAAAATCAAACCAAGTATGTTGGTTTACTAAATTTATAATTAAATCAAACCAATATATACTCGGTTTTATACTCGGTTTTTTTCGGTTTCGATTTTAGTTGGGTTTCTCGGTTTCTTTGATTTTCGGTTTATTTTCGATTTTATTTTTTAGTTATATTGTGCTTGAAAAAGAGATCAAATAATCACCAATTATTCGCATGATTACTATTCATTAAAATAATCTAAGATAACAGTTATACCTAAATTTAAAGGGACAAAATAACATAATTGGTTTAATCAAATACTTTAGCTTACCAAATTGTATTGGAGCAATAAGACTAGTATGCAATTACAAACTTGAACAATGACTACTTCTCAACAAGAATTGCAGAGCGGGAAGCTTGTGTGAAGTGGAGAGAAGGGTTTCCAATATTTGGGGTTCTTTGAGCTTGAAAGTGGAACATGGGAAAGATACAGAATAACCTATTTTATTATCTTTTGTATTGTTGGGTTTTAGTTTGGGCTTCAGATTTAGGTTATGTAGATAGAGGGTNTGGTTTAGAAAAACGAAAAACAGAAAATTGAAAATAAAAAAAAAATAAAAAATAAAAAATTGAAAACACAAAAAATATTTTTTTTTTGTGTGTGGGGTGGGGGTGGGGGGTGGCGTAGAAAAACGAAAAAAAATAAAAAATTGAAGTTGGAGGGGGTTGGGGTTAGATGTGAAGGTAAGTGTAGTTTTTGGAAAATATTTTCCTAACTTTTCCTAAATATAATTTATTGGAAATTACAATATCCAAGATCAATTTGTGTTTGGCATTGTTGCGTAATGGCTGGCACCATATCGAATGATTTGAGTTTGTTGGACCGGAATCTTATAATCAGAACCTAAACTCTAATTTGGTCGACAAAGAGATGATACAGTCGAAGACGAAGAGAGAGAAAGAGACAAGAAATATGTCGATTGATCTAGAAAGTATAAGACCAAACTCTATTATACAAAGGTCTATTGGGTATAATAAGGAATCGGGCGAACACACAAAACACAAGTCAGAAGCCCAATACAAACAAAGGACTGACCCTATTGTTACAGCTAAAGATCCGGCCCATTCTTTTAGCATATTGGACACAACTGAAAGGCACTCAAATCTTCCAGAATATTCTTATCCAAATGCAAATTACAACTAAATAATATCTGTACATATCACAGTACAATTAGTTATAGAAAAACATATAGGAATTAGACACTTGTAATTAGTATAACTGTAGTTGTCCTTTGCTGATTTTCAAATACTTGTATAAATATATACACTGTATAGAACGTTCGATCATCAATGAGAAAAGAATTTTTCTAAATTCTTACATGGTATCAGAGCAGTAGCTATCTGAAACCCTTGTCTACATTTTTTTCCAGTCATCTTATTTTCTTTCTCCATTGAAATGGCACCAAATTCCACAGATGACTCTTCCAATGTTTCTGCAGCTCGAACAATCACTCAACCAGTTGCTATGGTTATCGATTCCACTCACCTCTATTATCTTCATCCAACTGATTCACCAGGGATGGTTCTTGTTAACTCAGTCTTTGATGGAAAGTGATATGGAGGATAACGTAGAGCCATGGTTATTACACTCTCTACCAAGAACAAGCTTGGCTTTATCGATGGAACCTATTCTGAACCTGATGCGTCTTTCACTGACTTCAAGCAGTGGAATCGTTGCAATGATATGGTTATATCATGGATCTTGAACTCTATGTCTAAGGACATAGCTGAAAGTGTCCTTTATTCTAAATTTGCAAATGAAATTTGGAAAGAGCTTGATATTAGATTTGGACAATGTAATGGTACTCAACTTTATCAGTTGCAAAAGAAGTTTAGTGATCTGGTGCAAGGGACCTCTGATGTAGTAGGATATTATACAAAGGTGAAAAGGATTTGGTATGAGTTAGATACCTTGAATATTTGTGTGCACTGCACCTGTCAGTGTGATTGTGTAGGAAAGTCAAGAACTTTGAAGTCCCTTCAAGATGGTAGGCTAATCCAATTTCTCATGGGAGCTTAATGATACCTACTCAGTTGTGAGGAGTAACATTCTGATGATTACTCCTCTTCCTAGTATCAATCAAGCCTATTCTCTTCTTATTCAAGATGAGAGGCAAAGGAAAATTCAAGTTGCACAACACCCAGTTGAGACTACTTTCCTGGCACAAAATCAACAAATCAATTTTCAGAAATATGTTAATGGAGAAGGAAAGTTCAAAGCAAGTCTTGAAGAAAAGAAGAATAACCTGGTGTGCAATTATTGCAAGAAACCTGGAGGTCCTCACAGCAAGTATCGAGGAGGTCCTCACAGCAATGCAACAATCATGAATGAAGAAAACACAACTCAGTCAGTCAACACAATGGAAGAAAATGCAACAGGGAAGGTCATCACTCAAGAGCAGCTCAGTCAGCTCTACCAGCTTCTTCAACAGGTGAAGGTTGGTCAGCAGGGTGAGCAGATTTTTGATGCAAATGCTAGTGCCAATTGTGCTGGTAAAACAATCAATACTCCTAACCTATATTGTCTTTCTTGTTTTCCTTACATGAATTCTACCTCCTGGATAATAGATTTAGGGGCTTCAAAACATATGACTTTTGATTATTCTATTTTATTCAATGTGAAACCTCTAACCAAATCTCTGTATATCAATATCCCAAATTCATATAAAGTTAAGGTCAGTCAAGTTATTAGTGTGCATGTTCTACCAGATTTAATCCTAAACAATGTGTTATATATATTCCAGATTTCAGATTTAACCTAGTTTCAGTTCACAAACTCACTAAACAACTCATATGTACCTTGTTTTTCTCATCTTTTAGTACATTCTTGCAGGGCCCTTCACTGAAGAGGCCAATGGTAGTTGGTGAAGTGAAAGAAGGCCTATATCTACTTAATCCAGCTTCTCTAAGTTCTGGATTAGTTTATGGAAGTCAATGAGTTTTTCAGTCTTATTGAGCCTGTAATAACCTTAGGAAAGACATTCTCTCTCATTTAGTTTCTTGTTCTGCTAGAGTCAATTCTAATGTAAGCCTATGACACAAAAGGTTGGGGCATATGCCTTTATCTAGTATGTAAAATATATCCAGTTTTTAGTTTCCTTCTCTGGCCAAGTTTAATGATCCTTGTGATATATGTTCTCAAGCTAGGCAGGCAAAATTGCCTTTTCATTCAAGCAATATCAACATAAGTTTATTTTTTCTACTTTTTTATGTTGATACTTGGGAACCCTACAAGGTACTAGCTCATGATGGTTATAGATATTTCTTGACCATATTAGATGACTATAGTAGGGGAACTTGGACTTATCTTTTAAGAATAAAAAGCAATGCTTTTCCAGTTTTAAAATCTTTTCTAGCAATGGTAGAAAGGCAGTTTGCAACAAAAGTTAAAATCATCCGTTCAGATAATGCTTTGGAATTAGGATCAAGATCCATTCTTTCAATTTTTTTCTCCTCTAATGGAATCCTTCATCAAATCTCTTGTGTTGCTACACCACAACAAAATGGAGTGGTTGAATAAAAACACAAACATCTTTTAGAGACATGTAGGGCTCTATTATTTCAGTCTAATCTCCCTACTATGTGTTGGGGTGATTATTTGTTAACTGCTACTTTTTTAATAAATAGACTTCCCTCTAGA